TCTACGCACTCCACCTCCACAAGCGGCTGGAGCACCGGCTCATACTGCTCTTCCCCACAATTTCTTGTCAATTTGTTTCATGTTCGGACACAAATGTCCTGTTGGGATTGAGATATGTGTGCTTGCTCCCCAATTGTAGCTTGGGAAGCAAGCTAATTTTAACTAAAGTAAATGTTAGGAAGAGTTTACATCCATGTACAATTCAAGAGTATTGTTGAGATATAGCACATGATGTTTTCAGTGCTTGCTATTTCTTCAACTCTCAGCTGCATGTCTGTCTATGTCACCATGTGTCAGTATGACACTAATGAAAGTGCTCTGAAGGATGCATTCTCTCAACATGGACATGTTACTGAAGGTACTAATTTATATGTTTCGACCCTGCTTGGTCTTGGATCCATGGTTTGTGTTGATTAGAGATTGTTCTCTAACTGATGAATCTTTCATACAGTTAAAGTAATACACAATCATGTGCTTAGGAAACTCAACAGATGTGGTTTCTTCATGTTCTGTTAAGAAAATGAAGCAGCAGTGGCATTCGAGAGAGTGAACAATGAGGTCCTTTTCCAAAAAAAATTTGAATAATGAGGTAAAATATGCTTCATGGCATCCATAGTATATATATCCCAGATCATGTATATCTTTTTGTTATTGAAAGTATTTCGCATTTATATATGAGAACAATAGTAGTACAAGTAGTTAGAAATTATTTTGGTTGGCAAATCCGATGGGCTGGGTATGACTTCCTCTTTGTCTTTTCTGCTGCACAAGGTCACATGCACACAGCGGCATAACCGGATAAACTGGTCTCATACAGTAGTGGTAGTAGCATATGGCATGCATATCATTAATGCTCGGAAGAACGTTTAACTACATATGGCCTGACATGCAACAGGCCCAATGCATCTGTCCGGAGACAATGCGCACTCAGTTGCAACTTTCTCAATCTTTTATTGTGGTTCACACGACTACCCGGTCTGATATGCTAGTTCCTTTCGTAATTTATAGGCCATATTTTGACCATAGTTTAACAAACAAAATATAAGTATACGTAGTAAGAACAATATCATTGAAAACTACATTCAAATACGAATCCAACAATATAAATTTTGATGACACATATTAACATTTTCTAGTCAATTATGTGATCAAACTTTGACTCAAAATACGACGCGGACTAATATATATATAGACGGAGTTAGTACTGAAGAAAACGGAGGAGGCAACCGAGGACACTACAGATTAATGCGTAACGGGAGATCCGATTTTACAGGAACAATATAGAAAAGATTTCACATTCCTGGCCTCTCCGTTGGGAGAAGAGATAAAGAACTTACGCCTTGTTCAAATCCAGCCCGAGATTAGCCAAGGATAAGGTATATTTCTATGGTTTGCTATCATCTAAGAGCGCGTGAGCAAAATCCATTCATAAGCAAATTAGTGTTTCTGCTTTGATTGCAAGAACAAGTTGGTTCATGACTTCAGAATTCTGAAGGAGACGTACAATGCTAGATTCCACATATGGGTTTAATGACATACTTAAAGTGACATCACATGTTCTAAACTATGCTCAGACAATAGCCTTGAAATATTTTCATGTAATTATTGGTAACTCCTTTCTGAACCTTGCATCAACTAAAATTTGATAGTCCATTCATCAGTGTATTCAGTTCTGTGGAATTTCGTGTTATTTATTAGATGATACGTATATTACCGAAAAACAAAACCGGTGGAGCCCATAAGGGTTCACTCAGACAGAAATGTTTAGAGATATTGGCAAGATTGTATTTGTCCTTAATCCAGAAAAGGATTTGTCAATGTGGAGGTTGATCTTTGTTTCCGTTGTCCTATCTTCGTATCTACATTTCTGTTTTGTCATTAAGTTACTTTCAAAAATGTACTTTTGCCTCGAAGTTCTTGTTACATGTAAAAGTTGAACTGAGGAGGAAGGAAATCAAGAGATAGCTAATCTATTGGGAAGAGGGAGGGAGATGCAATCTATTAATCATGTAAGGTGTATACAAGTCACTTGAGTGGGAGAAGCTAAGAAGCCATGTAAATTAAAAGATTGATGAAGTAAAGAAAAACTGTTCACGTTTATTATAATTATATTAAGCTATGTGTGGTTCATAGTTTTTGATGGTCAAGTACTCCCTCCGTCCGGAAATATTTGTCATCAAAATGAATAAAAGGGGATGTATCTAGATGTATTTTAGTTCTAAATACATCCCTTTTTGTCCATTTTTATGACAAGTATTTTCGGACGGAGGGAGTATAACATTGTAGTAAGTCCTCTCCTGGTAATATGATTTTGCGTATTTTACCATCATTTTGTCGTGCTCTGGAGTCAGGGAGATTAACCATCATTTTGTCATGATCTGGAGTCAGGGAGCGGCATTGCAACGGTTCATGTTGTCGGTTCAACTATACAATAGTGTGGTGTTGCAACGACTCATGCCCATAGTTCAAAGTGCGTGTGGAAGGGGGCGTTTGTATCTGCTGGACGTCACGCTGGTTTTGTTTTCTCTAATAGTGGTATATATGCCAGGTCATGTACTCCCTCCTTCCATCTATATAGGGCCTAATGCGTTTTTCGAGGTTAACTTTGACCAAATGTTAGAGCAATAATATATGACATGCAACTTACACAAAGCACATCATCAAATTCGTATGTGAAAGGAGCTTTCAATGATATAATTTTCACATTATGCATGTCATGTAGTATTAATTTTATCAATAGTCAAAGGCAGTCTTGAGAAATGCATTAGGCCCTATATAGATGGAAGGAGGGAGTATGTCTTTTCTTCTATTGAAAATATTTTGGTTGACAAATCCGATGGGCTGGGTATGAGAAAGGAGATACTACTTTTTCTTTGTCTTTTCTGCTTCACAAGGTCACATGCACACAGCGGCACAACCGGATAAAACGGTCTCAGACTAGCCATAGTGGGAATAACTTCAGCAGTAACATCGAGTCCAACTCAGCACATTTGCTTATGTGGCAATGAGTTAATAAGGAGAGAGATAGTTACAGTAACTTAGCTAGTTACTGTAACATCACATGTCCCAATGCAATATGAGTCTATAACCTCATAAATGAAGCTTTGCATGTTATCACATTTATGTTACTATCCACTATGAAGGTAGTAACATAGTCTAGGGATATGTGTATGGGAAAATACACAGGAGCTCTCGGGTGCTCCACACCCCTATACGAAAAATATTCGTAAAAAATTCCCAGAAAATCAAAAAAATCTAAATTTTCGGGATGTCAAACCTGGTCCCCAATCTACTTCCGTGCGAAATTTCGTGAAAAAATACCTAAAAACGCATCCGTGGCGAAGGAATTACTGCCCGGAAAAAATTTACACAAACGGTGTTTTGCTATACATAGGAAATTTTTGTCTTTTTTGCCGCGAATACGTTTCCTGGTATTTTTTTCACCAAACCTCATACGGGAGTACATCGGTAACCCACGTTTGATATTCTAAAATCCCAGATTTTTTTTCAAATTTCTTGGTATTTTTTTTCCTGGTATTGTACATATAGCGAGAGCTCTAAATCTTCGTCCTATGTGTATGTTGCTAGTATATGTTACTATGCACTGCACTGTGGCTAGTCTCATACAGTCTGACCTACATTAGCATATGGCATGCATATCATTAATGCCCGGAAGAAAGTTTAACCACATATGGCCTGACAATCATCTGACATGCAACAGGCTCAATGCGTCTATCCCGAGACAATGCGCACTCAACTTCAAACTTTCCAATCTTTTATTGTGGTTCACACTAAAACTAATACTTAAGTAGTACTTCCTCCGTCCGAAAATACTCGTTGGAGGAATGGATATATGTAGATGTATTTTAGTTCTAGATACATTCATTTTTATGCATTCCTCCGACAAGTATTTCCGGACGGAGGGAGTACTTCCTCCGTCCCAAAATACTTGTAATCAAAATGGACAAAAAATGATATATCTAGAACTAAAATACATCTACATACATCCCCTTTTATTCATTTTGATGACGAGTATTTCCGGACGGAGGGAGTAGTAGATTATTACAACTAATCCATTCCTTTTGTAATTTCGGTCATATTTTGACCATGATTTTAACTAATAAGATATAACCTATATTTAACAAAAACAATATTGTTGAAAACTACATTCAAGTACGAATCCAACAACATAAATTATGCTGACATACATTAACATTTTGCTAATCAAATATGTGATCAAAGACAATGAGGACTGATATACACAGACGGAGGTAGTCTGGCAAGCACGGAAGCAGCCAAAGACATGAGAGATTAATGTGTAACGGGGGATCCGATTTCCAAGGGCAATATAGGAAAGATTCCACGTTCCTGACCTCTCCTTGCGGAAATGACTAAGAGTTTACGACTTGTTCAATACTCCCTCCGTTTCAAAATAGATGACTCAACTCTGTACTAACTTTAGTACAAAATTAGTAAAAGTTGAGTCATCTATTTTGAAACGGAGGGAGTATATGCTCATGCGAGTATGCTGGATTAGCGCAGTGGTGCCATTATGACATGACACTCTGAGGTCGAGGTCAACTCAAAGACTTAAGACCCACTCTAGCTAGAGTACAGACACTGTAAAAATGGACGGAGAGAGAGAGAGAGAGTATAGGAGTAGCGTATAGTACTAGACACATATGCTAGTGGCAGTAGGAGTATGCTCGATTAGCGCAGTGGTGCCATTATGACATGACACTCGAGGTCGAGGTCAACCCTAAGACTTAAGACCCAGTCTCGAGTAATATGAGAATCGCGTTCAAGAAGGAGATCGCATCACGCTTCACTTGTAGTACTCACAGATTTGCAGAATACTGAGTCTTGAGGTCTGACCTCCACTTCCATTAAATCTCATGCACACATGCATATACTAGCTAGTAGGAGCAGCTCCCAAGTCTGTGAGGGTCAGTGTCCTCCATTGTTCACTCAAGCTAAGTGAACAAGCCAGTAGGGACAAGATGAAAAAGGGCAGGAGGAACGACAAGGGTAAGAAGCTTGCGGGCAAGGCCGCAGCAAGGGCTCTCGTCTGGCTTCTGCTTCCTCTCCTCGTCTTCGTCGTGCTCAACTCCGATCACATGCCGCAGCTTCCTCTTCAAGCAACAACTCTTTGTAAGTCCCCTCGATTTACCAGCAACAACTCTTTGCAAGTCCCCTTGATTACATTACAAGCAACAAGTCTAGATTTCGAGTGTTCATCTGATCTATATGTGCGCGCGCTCATCTTCGATTCATCGTCCCAAAGACTCATTACTCAAACTCTTGACCCATAGTATGAGTTGACGTGTACTACCTCCCTAGTGGTTTATTGATCTCGTTCATATTTTATGCTAAATTTTAACCATAGATTTAACTAAAAAATGTTACTGCATGTCGTCAAAATTTACATCGTTAGAATCGTATTTGAAAATAGTTTCCGCTAATATTATTTTTACTATGTTTAAATTTTACTTTTATTAGTTAAAATCATGGACGAAATATGACTCTAAATACTAATACGAGGGGCACGGAGGTAGTAACAACGGTTTAACATATCTGTTACAGCACGTTATGTATACTGCCCATGAGCTTGATTGTTCTCTAATTGGTTCATCAATTTGGCGCATTGAATTCAGATTTGGTCGCCCATTCACCACCACCTTCTCCCGCATCAAGCGAGCAGACACCCAGCATGGCCGTCGATACACTACCTTCCGCCGCATCACGCCATGAAACGCCCGGCAAAGCCGTCGACGCACCACCTTCTCCCACAACAAGCGATCAGACACCCGGCGTGGCCGTCGATGCACCACCTTCCGCCGCATCACGCGACGACACGCCTGGGGACGCCATCCGTGCAAACAAAAGTCAAGGCGACGTTGCCCGTCGACGAGGTAATTAGTTACCTTTTCACCGCAGAGCAGAACGGCTGTTAAGTCTGCCTAAACACACTAATGCTAACAGACATTGTGTTAGTTGTACAGTAGTACCAATGGAATAATCCAACGGCAATTGAGATCTCTGCAAGAGTGACAAGAGCAAAACTAAATAGAAGTTTCTTTCTACCAATTAATAACTCTTTTGTGCATCTCACAGATACAGATATGGCAGCACCAAGAAGCAAGTCAATTTGTGACTTCAGCAGTGAACGAATGGACATCTGTGCCATGCAAGGCGACGTCCGTATGCACGGCAAATCCGCCACCGTGTACGTGGTCTCAGCATTCGACGATGGCTACCGGCCAGAGAATGGGACGGTGAAGATCCGCCCGTACCCGCGCAAGTCGGAGGAAGGAACGATGAAGACTATCCGGGAGGTAACCATCCGCTGGAGCGGGCTAGATGCGCCACGGTGCACGGTGACGCACGACGTCCCCGCGGTGCTCTTCTCCACCGGCGCCTACCTCAACAACTTTTTCCACGCCATGACCGACGGCATCATCCCTCTCTTCAACACTGTGAGGGAGTACGATGGCCACGTCCAGCTTGTGATCACCGACTACAACCGCAAGTGGGTTGACAAGTTCCAACGCATCCTCGCCGTGCTCTCCAAGTACCCGGTCATCAACTTCAACGCCGACGACAAGGTGCGTTGCTTCCCGTCGGTGCACGTCGGCACCGAAGGCCATAAGGAGATGGGGATCATCCCTGCTCTCTCCCGCAAGGGCTACACAATGACAGACTTCCGGAACTTTCTCCGGTCGGTCTACTCGTTGAAGCGTGAGTGGTCAGCCCCCGTAAACCGGACCACGGGTGACAGGCCTCGCCTCCTCATGATTCTGCGCCGCAACTCGAGGGCGTTTGCGAATGAAGCGGAGGCCGTCGCAGCTGCCACTGAGGTCGGCTTCGAGGTGGTGTTGGCGGAGCCGCAGGTCGTGAGCGACATGGCCCGGTTCGCAGAGGTCGTGAACTCGTGCGACGTGATGGTGGGCGTGCATGGCGCGGGGCTCACCAACCTATTGTTCCTCCCACGCAACGCCACATTGGTGCAGGTCGTCCCGTGGGGCGACATGAGCTGGGGGTCCAATGCTGCATTTGGTGCACCGTCGGCTGACATGGGGCTCCGGTACGTCCAGTACGAGACGACCCCCGAGGAGACGACGCTCAAGTACAAATACCCGAGGGACCATGCCGTCTTCACCGACGTCGCCTCCATAAACAGGCAGGGGTACGGTATGACGTGGGAGCTCTTCCTCAACGGCCAGAACATCACCCTCGACATCGACCGCTACAGAGGGGTGTTGCAGAAAATCTACCTTGATAGTATAATGGTCGATCCTTCATTTAATTCTGACCCGGTCGTCGAAGCACCACCTTCTCCGGCATCAAGCGGCGAGACACCCGGGGACGTCCTCGATCAGAACAGAGGTAATTAATTGCTTGTCCTCTGCAGAGCACCGAGCTTGTTCAAAAGTCAAGTCTGGCCAAATTAAATATATTGTAATCTGTTGCAGATCTCCAAAAAGAAAAGGGGTTGCTGGCCATGAACGCGGGAGTAGATGCTTCTTTGATAAAATCAGGTACGTACCAAGTATGTATCCTGTATATCCAAGCACTGGGTTGTACAGTACCAACATATTATAGAAATTACTCCTAGTTAGTACTAATTAGAGGCATCTTTGGAGCCACTGTGTTAGTTAATCCAAGAAAACATGCCATAAATAACCAAACCATTTGAATTCAATAGACTACGATTAGATGTGAGATAGAGTACTATATTTGCACATGGTTGTAAGTTCTGGCAGTCTTGGATCTCTACGTCTTTACATTTTCTAGTAACATCTTTTTTGCGGGTGACATTTTCTATTGAGATATACAAAGATTCGCTAAATAGATAAAAGAAAAAAATGTGCGGAAATAGAGACAATAATATGACCATGCAATTTTGTTTGGCCCAATGTGTAATACTAAAACTTCAGAGAGATAAATATATGGACTTATTCACTGTATATTGAGTGTCCATATGAAATTACTATGATAATAAGTCAGATATTTCTTTCGGAGGCCACACCACAAGATCCCGAACTAACTATAAACAATATTAAATGTTTTTACTATTCACCTCCAAAACAATGCCTCTAAGGCTAGTCATAGTGGGAAGTAACTTAGAGTAGTAACATGCACATGTTACTAGTCTATATTACTAACTTCATAGTGGGTAGTAATATAAGTGTGATAACATATAGATCTTCATTATTGCTTTGTAGACTCATTTTACATTGAGAAGTGCTATGTGATGGTAACATATTATGTTACTCTATTTGCCTCTCTCCGCATTAATTACTTGACACATCTACCTATGTTACTCCCACTATGACCAGCCTAAATAGTACTCCCTCCGTCCGGGTTTATTAGGCCTAAAGACAACTTCTTTTAGACCAAGGCACATAGTAATTTGCTCACATTAATTCTTTCACTCCATTCTCAATGCACTCTCTCACATGCATGCAGCCAATGAAAAAACACACATGAAGCGTATTAATTTTTCAGCCATGGCACCAACAACAATAGCCTTCAATGTAACCAATGAAATGGTCGCATGCATGCACCTTTCCAACGCGGGGCCTTATAAAAGTGGACATGCTTGTGATGCTAAGAAGCCTAATAAACCCGGACGGAGGGAGTAACCATATAAAAATTGTCAGAATACATGTACGAACCCGTGCATGAATTGATGACTAGTAGAGTATATATAATAAAGTGCTGCCCATGAAGGGATAATCCAACGACAATTGGAAATTTCCTAAGAGTGACAAAAGAAAACCTACGAAATGTTTTTAATTAGTACTAGTTAATACTCCCTAGTCCCTATGCTCTCAAATATAATATGTTATACTCCCTCCATCACAGTTTAGAAGGTACCTTTTAGATTTCATGCATTTCCAGAATTGAGAAGGATTAAAGCGCATTTCATTTACTGCCTAGTAGTACACCACGCATGAGTAATTAGTAGTACTAGTACTAGTAGTTGCATGCATGGTGTGAACGTGGTGTGGAAGCCCGGGGTGTGAACGTGGACTGGAATTGGTCTCCACCAATGCATGCCAGGAGGCTGCTCGTTTATTGGAGGTCGGATTTAGTAAGACTGGTCATAGTGGGGAGTAACTTAAACTAGTAACATGCGTATTATGTTACTACCTTTATAATGGATAGTAACATATGAATGGTAACATACAAACCTTCATTAATTGAGACATACACTCATTCTTCCTCGGGGTGTGTTATGTTACAGTAATATATTATCTTAGCACAAACATCTCTCCCCTCATTAACTTAATGCCACATAAGCAAATTTATGTTGGAATGTGTTATGTTACTACTCCCACTATGACTAGCCTAAAGCGTTAACTTCCCAGCTAATTAGGCGCATACAATTAACTAGGCTGTTTTTTCCAGTCGAACGCATGGAGGAAATGGAGCCAATCGCTGCATACCTTGGTTCTAGCGATCTGGGCTAGACGCCTTGTAAACTGTCACGGAGGGAGTACTTTTTTTTTTCTGATTCGGATGTATATAGACGCATTTTAATTTCTCTTCACTCATTTCAGTCCGTAAGTAGTTCAAAACATCTCATATTTGTGAACAGAGAGAGTAACTCTTTTGTGCATGATACAGATGTGGCAGCACCAAGAAGCAAGTCAATCTGTGACTTCAGCAGTGAACGCATGGACATATGTGCCATGCAAGGCGACGTCCGTATGCACGGCAAATCCGCCAGCGTGTACGTGGTCTCAGCGTCTGACGACAGCTACCGGCCAGAGAACGGGACAGTCAAGATCCGCCCGTATCCGCGCAAGTCGGAGGAAGGAACAATGCACGCTATTCGGGAGGTGACCATCCGCTGGAGCGGGCTCGATGCGCCACGTTGCACAGTGACGCACGACGTCCCCGCGGTGGTCTTCTCCACCGGCGCCTACCTGAACAACTTTTTCCATGCGATGACCGACGGCATCATCCCTCTCTTCAACACCGTGAGGGAGTATGATGGCCGCGTCCAGCTTGTGATCACTGACTACAACCGCAAGTGGGTCGACAAGTTCCAACGCATTCTCGCCGCGCTCTCCATATACCCGGTCATCGACTTTGACGCCGACGACAAGGTGCGTTGCTTCCCGTCGGTGCACGTCGGCACCGAAGGCCATAAGGAGATGGGCATCATCCCTGCTCTCTCCCGCAAGGGCTACACAATGACGGACTTCCGAAACTTTCTCCGGTCGATCTACTCGCTGAAGCGTGAGTGGTCGACCCCCGTAAATCGGACCTCCGGCGACAGGCCTCGCCTCCTCATGATTCTGCGCCGCAACTCGAGGGCGTTCGTGAATGAGGCGGAGGCCGTCACAACAGCCACAGAGGTCGGCTTCGAGGTGGTGTCAGCGGAGCCACAGGTCGTGAGTGACATGGCCCAGTTCCCAGAGGTCGTGAACTCGTGTGACGTGATGGTGGGCGTGCATGGCGCGGGGCTCACCAACCTGGTGTTCCTCCCGCGGAACGCCACATTGGTGCAGGTTGTCCCATGGGGAGACATGAGCTGGGGGTCCAATGCTGCATTTGGTGCACCGTCGGCTGACATGGGGCTTCGGTATGTCCAGTATGAGACGACCCCCGAGGAGACGACACTCAAGTACAAATACCCGAGGGACCATGCCGTCTTCACCGACGTCGCCTCCATAAACAGGCAGGGGTACGGTATGACGTGGGAGCTCTTCCTCAACGGCCAGAACATCACCCTCGACATCGACCGCTACAGAGGGGTGTTGCAGAAAATCTACCTTGATAGTATAATGGTCGATCCTTCATTTAATTCTGACCCGGTCGTCGAAGCACCACCTTCTCCGGCATCAAGCGGCGAGACACCCGGGGACGTCCTCGATCAGAACAGAGGTAATTAATTGCTTGTCCTCTGCAGAGGACGGAGGTTCAGTTTGCTTGTTCGAAACTCAAGTCTGGCTACTCAATTGAATATGTATATTGTAATCTGTTGCAGATCTCCAAAACGAGAAGGGGCTGCAAGCCATGAATGCAGGAGTAGTAGATGCTTCTTTGATAAAATCAGGTACGATACCAAGTACTCCCTCCGTCACAGTTTAGAAGACAAAGTTAAATTTGCGTACGTTTTCACAATAGACAAGGTTTAGGGCGCATTGCATTTATTTCTAGTAGCTAAGTAGTACTCTGATGTACTATTCCTATATGCATGCGTAGTGTGAATGCTATTTTTTAGCCCATCTCATAGCCAATAGATAACCACCTAGGTCCCAGAGAATTTTCAAGTGTGCCTTCTAAACCGTGACGGAGGGAGTACTGCATATCCAAGCACTGCGTATTTGCATTCATAATTTGGTTGTGGCGCGAGAAAACATAGTAGAATTTGGTACTACTAGAAAACAAACTTAATACTGATAGACTTTGCGTTAGTTGTGCAGTACCAACATATTATAGTAATCACTCCTACTAATTAGAGGCATCTTTCGAGCCACCATGTTAATCCTAGAAAACATGTGATAAATAACAAACGAATTGAATTCGAGGACTAAGACTAGATGTGAGATAGAGTATATTTGTGCGCGGTTCTATGTTCTGGCAGTCCTGGATCTCCATGCCTTCACATTTTCTATTAACATATTCAACCATTCGCTTGCACGTTGCGAGTTTGTAGCCGATTAGCCCTTCGGTTGTCCGTATGTATGTTTATGTACCTCGCAAAGTAGAATCCTATAATAGACTAATGCATCTTTCTTTTGTTAGTGCATGTACTCCCTCTGTAAATAAATATAAGAGCGTTTAGATAACTAAAGTAGCGATCTAAACGCTCATTTTTTTTACGGAGGGGTACTACGCAAGCAGAATCTCTACCTTCGTCCTCTCTTTCATCGAGATATGTGTACATAAGTGTGTTGTATGTAATCTAGCTACGTGCACTAATCGGTACTTTTTTTATTTGAAAAATCACCATGTACCCAGTCTACCCAGTCAAAATGCATTTCTATGCATGCGTACTGCATCAATCTTAATCATAAATCACGGATATATACACGTAGTAAGCTTTTCCAAATATGTATATAAACAGTTCTAAGATATTTTCCAAATTAGTCTAAAGAATCAGTATATATAAACACGAAATCCAAAATTATATTAAGACGAAAATTGCTAACAAAGTGCAAGCACATCCATAAACCATAGATTCCATTAGTCCGGGCATTAGAATTCATATAAATTGGAACACATATTGTTAAAAGAAATCAGCCAAACAGTAACTAAGAAAAAGGTGCTCACATGTGGACATGTCGATGGCACACGCTCCTTGCATGGTTAATAGTCGCAAAAATATGTGTGGTTAATAGAACCCGCGAAGGTATGTAATGTCTCAGCCGGGTCAATTTGTAGATCATATGGGCCTCATAATCTTTAAAAAGACATTTTTGCAAATAAATGGGAAATAGTGACATGATATTTCGTTAGATATAGCTTCTAGTACGAACTAGCATGGAAAGATATATATGAAGTGACATGACTAATTAGATAAAACAAAAAAAATGTGTGGAAATAGATACAATAATATGACCTTGCAATTTTTGTGGCCCAATGCCTAATACGAAAACTTCAGAGAGATAAAGATCGGAACCTATCCACTGTATATTGAGTGTCCACATGAAATTAATATGATAATAATTCAGATATTTCTTTTGGAGGCCACACCACGAGATCCCGGACTAACAGTAAATAAGAAAGATGCAAATATGGTCAAAGAAAATTCATTTCTTTTTTTGAAACAGACATGAACGTCTCTTTTAACAATGTAGTGAGTTTTACCAAGAAAAAACATATGTTGTAAAGTAGGTGAAGATATTTCATGTTAAAAAGTAGCCTTCGTTTAGAACCTTTTTTTTCTTTTGCCCAGATCACAACATCTTTCTTTTGTTCATGAAAAGTTTCAAACATGTATAGGACCTGAACATGTTCATTACAGAAGTACTTCTTAAATTCTCTAAATATTTATTGTTTTTACTATTCACGTCCAAAACGGTATACCTCTAATAGTAACCATATAATTGTCAGAATACATGTATGAACCCGTGAACGAATTGATGAGTAGTAGAGTATATAATAATGGGCTGCCCATGATGGAATAATCCAACGGCAATTGAAAATTTCCTAAGAGTGAACAAAAAAACTAAGAGATGTTTCTAACAAGTACTCCCTTCGTTCCTGAATATTTGTCTTTCTAGACATTTCACATGACTACTACATACGGATGTATGTAGATATATTTTACAGTGTAGATTCACTCATTTTGCTTCGTATGTAGTCACTTGTTGAAATGCCTAGAAAGACAAGTATTTAGGAACGGAGGGAGTACTAATTAATACTTCCTCCATTCATAAATATAAAATGTTCTATATTTTTTGCTTATTCGGATTTATAGACGTATTTTAGTTGTTTGTTCACTCATATCAGTTTTTTTGTAAAGACTAATTTCATTATGTAAGTAGTCCATATCAAAATATCCAAAATATATTATATTTATGAACAAAGGGAGTGAATCTTTTATGCATGATACAGATGTGGCAGCACCAAGAAGCAAGTCAATTTGCGACTTCAGCAGTGAACGAATGGACATCTGTGCCATGCAAGGCGACGTCCGTATGCACGGCAAATCCGCCACTGTGTACCTGGTCTCAGCGTCTGATGATAGCTACCGGCCAGAGAACGGGACGGCAAAGATCCGACCGTACCCACGCAAGTCGGAGGAAGGAACTATGCAGACTATACGGGCGGTCACCATCCGCTGGAGCGGCCTGGATGCGCCACGGTGCACGGTGACGCACGACGTCCCTGCGGTGGTCTTCTCCACCGGCGCCTACCTCAACAACTTTTTCCACGCCATGACCGACGGCGTTATCCCTCTCTTCAACACCGTGAGGGAGTATGATGGCCGCGTCCAGCTTGTGATCACTGACTACAACCGCAAGTGGGTCGACAAGTTCCAACACATTCTCGCCGCGCTCTCCATGTACCCGGTCATCGACTTTGACGCCGACGACAAGGTGCGTTGCTTCCCGTCGGTGCACGTCGGCACCGAAGGCCATAAGGAGATGGGGATCATCCCTGCTCTCTCCCGCAAGGGCTACACGATGACGGACTTCCGAAACTTTCTCCGGTCGGTCTACTCGCTGAAGCGCGAGTGGTCGACCCTTGTAAACCGGACCTCCGGCGACAGGCCTCGCCTCCTCATGGTGCTGCGCCGCAACTCGAGGGCGTTCGCGAATGAGGCGGAGGCTGTCGCAACTGCCACACAAGTTGGCTTTGAGGTGGTGTTGGGGGCCCCAGAGGCCGTGAGCGACATGGCCCGGTTCGCAGAGGTCGTGAACTCATGCGACGTGATGGTGGGCGTGCATGGCGCGGGGCTCACCAACCTGGTGTTCCTCCCGCGGAACGCCACATTGGTGCAGGTTGTCCCGTGGGGAGACATGAGCTGGGGGTCCAATGCTGCCTTTGGTGCACCTTCGGCTGACATGGGGCTTCGGTATGTCCAGTACGAGACAACCCCCGAGGAGACGACACTCAAGTACAAATACCCGAGGGACCATGCCGTCTTCACCGACGTAGCCTCCATAAACAGGCAAGGGTACGGCATGACGTGGGAGCTCTTCCTCAATGGCCAGAACATCACCCTCGACATCGACCGGTATAGAGGGGTGTTACAGCAAATCTACCTTGATAGTATAGTGGTTGATCCTTCATTAAACTAGATAACCCGTCGCACCTTGATGGAAAGGCCTAATGCAGCCAAGAAGCGACACGATCTATATGAAACACATTTCATGAATTATTCGCAAAGTAGAATCTCAATTCATGACATGCGACATTTCTCAACACTCGTGATATTGCATGATATGGTTCATGTTCAAGGTACATATGCAGAAAGTGTTTGCAGACATTCTAGAAGTTCTCAAACTATGTCTTTAAGTGCTACTGAATATTCCTGAAAATTCTCCAACTATTTAAAAAGTTTTTTGTGACTAATTATGAAAGTGATCGGTCTGATTTTGATACTCAAACTGTTTCTAAAAGCATTCCTAATATTTTGCAGTCAGAATATTTCACATATGTTTTATATACACCCCAAATATTTATACGTAAAAGTAACATCCTTTTTGTTGCCCAAACATAAGTTAATACAAATACAAACACTTATTGTTGTCTGGTATTATGAAATACAACACCAACAACATCTCGACCTAATACAAACACAATAAGAACGTAGTCCGTGAAATTAAATTAACACAGTAATTCAACATACACATCTAATCAGCAGGGGTTTACCACCCATAGTTTCGAGCGAGAGAGATGCCACTAGTAAACCTATGGTCCCCTAGGTCTATTCTCCATTAATGAATTCTTTTATGTAATTTCTACTTCTACTATGACATGTTACATTGCTATCTACTATCTCTATCACTTGCAGTTTAATCTTGTAACTAGCAAGACTAGGGGCTTGACAATCCTCTTGATGTCTGTGGACGATTGTATTGTGTGTTTTATGTGCAAGTGTCGTTCACTTTTTTATCTTGGGGGACTCCTACTAGATTGATAACCTTGGTTCTCTAACCGAGGGAAACACTTGTTACCGTTCTGCTTCACCCATACACTTGGGGAATCCCAACAACTCCTGGAGGAGAAAGCAGTTCCCCATGCTCTAAGTCGTACTCCAGCAAGGCATGATTCATCAGCGTCGATGCCACAACTCAAATCTAGGTTCTTAGGCAATTTCCAAAGAAGAAAAAACATATTTATACATAGCAACAATGTCAATTAACTAGCATATCACATGGATTCTACACACACAAAATCCTACACTAAGAGAAATGACCAGACATGCAATTATCAAAGGGTGTGGCTAGGTCTCAGTCGACTGAGACTTAACCAAGTCAGTCAGATTGTACACTAAGCATTAACCATCAAACGACTTTAAGTAACATAACATGAGATGGCCAAAAATATTGGTCCTTGTCAGACGGTCACAAATGGTACCCCGACGTACTCCTCGCTTGGCAGAAGTCTATCGAAGAGGTGGTCGGTCTCATCCTTGTTGAGCTTCATTCTTTGGGCAAAGACGACATCGTCAAATGGGTCCTCCTCCTCATCATCGGTGTGGGCAACAATAACAGAAACCCTGAATTTTTTGTCCTCTTAAGGAGAATTTGATCATTTCACCCCTAGAGCGACGATTGTGGGTGATGAAGCGATCCAATACTTCTCCTCCCATTTGGGTCATTGTTGGTCCTTTCTTGAGATCCAGAGTGTAGGGTCCCCCAGGAGCCATGAAGATCACAATGTCTTCAGTAATGTTGCATGGGACGATCTGTGTAACAAAAAACAAAAAACACATAATACATTAATGGAAAAAAGCAACGAAAACAAAAGAACAAACTAGCATGTCCTATTAGATAAGAGGTTTGTTACCACTGAAGGAACGAAAAACTATCGGAAATAGATGTACAATAACGAGCCAGTTGTAAGGCCCGTGGCGCACCTTGACTTGCGCAGTTGACATGGCGCCATTTTCCTATATGTTGTTTATATTAATGATTACTTTAATTTTGGTTATTTTTAAAATTTTAGGCAATTATTTTTATTTGTAGTTAGGTTATATTTATATTTATGTTTTATTTTTATATTTACATTTATACTTACGTTTATTTGTTTTGTGTTAAATAGTTGAAGACAATAATTAGGAGAACAACATCACTGATCTAGATACATAATAGTAGAAGGATAAACAATAACTAATAATGGTCACCCGTTTTAGTTAATTCCCTAAAATATGAACATAAACAGTGCAATGACTCCCAAAAAAAGAAATGATGCCACGGATCCAGCTGGGAGAATGAGCCCAATCATAACACAAGATAAAAGTGCATATCGAAGCTTTTTGAATTTTTTTTATTTGACCTTCTATCTCATCATTCTTGACCTGCATCTCATCTAACTATTGTATCGGTGGTCCAAGGTGGTACTAGAGGAACTCACTTACATATTTCTGCACGAGATAGACCCATATCCATGTGTTGCAAGATATTGCTCCTTCCTGCAGATGTGTATACACATAATGATGTCCGTGTCACTAGATTTGAATTGTGCAAATTTGATGGAAAAGATCAAGAAATTTTATGTTATACACCTTTTCTTATCGTGAGGGCATCGATAGCCGCAAACCAGCACAGGTGCCCTCGGCCTATTTCCAGCAGCTTCAACATTGGTGGTGTAGCCGTCGGAACGAACGAACGTTGTGCTGCAGCAGCGAGATGATTCGTCGGACATGGCCAGATGCATAGTCCACGGTGACGAGCTCATGACGTAGCCGATAGAGGCTCGGGGGAGCTTGATTGCTTGTATCTGCGTTGGTAATTCACTGAAGAGGAGAGGATGATGCAACACAACAAAGATAAGTATTTCTCTTAGTTATGAAATCAAGGTTATTAATTCAGCAGGAAAACCAATCAACACTATGTAAACAACACCTGCACACAAACAACAAAAATTTGCAACCCAACGCGTAAGAGGGGTTGTCAATCCCTCAACGGGATTGAGATAGATTAAATTGTATGAGATTTGATAAATATATCTAACTAAAACAAAAAATAAAATAAATAAATAAAAAGTACAACAAGATATTTTTGGTTTTAGTATATGATAGAAAATAGAATCGGGGGCCGTAGTTTTCACTAGAGGCTTCTCTCAAGAAAATAATAAATAAATTACTATTGGGTAATTGATAGAAAAGCGACTAATAATGACAATATCTAAGGCAATGATCATATATATATGCATCACGTCCAAGATCAGTAGATCCACTCCTGCCTGCATCTACTACTATCACTCCACACATCGCCCGATATCCAACATGCATCTAGTGTACACTACTAGGGAAAAGTCTAGCAGCAGCGCGGGTTTTAGGCCTATCAATAGCGCGGGGCGATGCGCTACTGATAAGGCGCTACAGCTAACGTGTAGCAGTAGCGGCTGCCATCCCACGCTACTGCTATACATGAATAGCTGTAGCGCGCTTCAGTGAAGAGCCCTAGTGATATTATCTGCAACGCTACTGGTAAGGCGGCGCTACTGCTAACTTTTGCCCATCGCTACTACTAGTTTTATTAGTTTTTTTCCTGCATATTTGTTTTGTATTTGAATAGGCTTTATACAAATGTAATCATAGCATATATATACAATTAGTCTCATCAAATCATGTCATCATCATAATCATCATCCAACACAAAGTGGTCTCTCGTCATCATCTTGAAAATAGCGATACAAGTCTCGATTACTTGCAAATACATCATCATCCATATAAACAATGATATACGCGAGAAGAGCTATCACTTTGAGTGAGAGCGGAACTTGCAGTACATGAGTTCGTATCCCTCTCTCGCATTAGCGTGAACCTAAGCTAACTACTACCTGTCGCTCAGAAACCGGAAACCGGTACACGTGGACCTGACACTCCGGCCACTCGTCGTATATATACTACTGGCGTAGCACTTCTTCGCCATCGATGATCTATGCATCTGCATCGTTACATGAGTCGATGATATGCAACATATATAGTTGAGCAACAGAAAGAGACAAAGAAACAACATATCATAAGCATAAATAATAAAGTTCATCGTACCCAAAATGCCCTAACTAGAGTGATCTTCGCTGGGTGAGGAGGAGGACGGTTTAATTACATCACAAATAAAGTTTCGCCGCGCATAACTCAAAGTTTTGTCATACAGAAGGTATGGACTAAACAGACACATTGTCATATATCGACAATCACTCCAACATGTCGTGCCATCCATCGAGGTCAGGGAGATAGTCCCCGAGCTTAGTGAAAGGCTTCATGTCGAGACGCTGAGAGGCTAGCCATGTTCGGACGTCTTCCCGCGACATTTGTCCTTCTTGGTAGAACATCCCTGTTTTCTCGACAACCTCCTTCATGATGATTTGGGCAAGTTCGCGCTGGATGTGATAGAACTCAGCTCGAAGTCGATGATCCTCGATATCTCCTACATTCTTTGCCCATTGTAGAATATGGGCATCGTCGGATCTAGGTGAGATGCGAAGGTTCTGGTGATCCCATCTGTACTCCAACATATGGTGTAGGACATAGAATCCATCATTAAGAGAATCACTCGGTTGCTGGATGCAGCAGAAGTCGGTCTTATGGCCGAAGGTGACACGACCGCCCCTTTTCTTCTTGTCCCTGACCTCTCCACCCAGTGATTGGTAGTAAAACATAGCACTGTCGAGAACATCCTTGATGTGGGTGTAATCCTTTTTGTGAATGTTCTTCGACGAGTCCAAGTAAAAAGCGTGGGAGTATCGGGGGTAGAGGATGATGAGGACGGCGCGCCCGCCGCTGCGCAAAATAAGTACACCTCAAATTAATTAGCCTCCACCGTGCAAATGAATGATTGAAATCGAAGGAAGGATATCCGCACGGATGACTTACACGGGATGATAAGGCATGAGAATCGCCTCCTTGTCCTTATTAGTGAGCATGAAACTGACGATGTATTCCCTCGCGTATTCATGGTGATTTGTGCAGACTCCCAAGAAGGCCTCATGCATGTAGTACGGGTCAGCGACACAGATATAAGGTATCTGCTCAAGCCCGATGATGTTGTTCATGTGCAGGGCATAAAGGCGGACAAGCGTAAAATCCAGCTTCTTCACGTGAAACATGTCGAATATGTAATCGAAC